CAAATCTACCCTCACAATCCTGTATGAAACTGGTCAGGAGCTCACTCTGAAACCAACCACAGTTAGGAGGTCACTTCAGATGTCTGTGACTTACCCCTGGAAATGGGGCTGGATTCACTCTCACTTGAGTCACAGGAGGGTGGTAGGAAGTGTTTAGGGTGGGGAGTAGGGAGGAGTGGGGCAGTGGACTCCTGACCCAATGGGAGCTCTGCCGGAGGAAGATGGGGAGTCAGGATGGTGGGATGACCATCACCCACCTGTAGCACCTGCTACACCTGCCCTGATCTCCAGGCTGCCCCTCCCATCAGGAATCACCCTGAAGTCAGATGTTCATCCCTTCCAAGGTAATGAGACACTGTCCTGACAGAGTCTGGAGGACTCAGGAGACTCAGGCGTTTGTACCTTTTAGCAATGTGAACACTCACCGAGGTCTTCATGGAACGTTATGTTGGCTTTGGGTAAAACTTACTGGGGACTCTGGGAACCCTAACCCAGAGCAATGACATGGTCTAAGGGGTGGGCATTTCAGGCCAGATATGCTGACAGGGCTAAGCCACCAGTAGACTGATATTTTAAGGTACTTTTTAGCTAACACCTAGACTATCAATGTTGGCCTACCCCCAATATGACAATATAGATAGGAAATGAGAAATATGGAAGGGCATCATTAAAATTTTTTACGTAGCCCATGTACTATGAAAGAATTTTTAGCCTTTATAAAAAAAAATTTGGTTTTTGGATGGCTGGTTCACAAGCCTTTTGCTTTTGCTTTTCTTCATCCTCCTTTTTTATTTGCTTTTGATTTTTAAGAAGAATGAACTTATTTTCTTTTCTAGTGGGAAAATAAAATAACCTTTATGTGGAAAAAGAGGTATTTTATACTTATCATTTAAAACACCACAGGAAATCCCTACCTCAAATGAGAAGTCTGATGACCACTTTTGTAATATTTGAAAATAAACCAACTTTATTTGAATCTGTCAATACCAATCACGACTGGAAAACAAATTTATAACTGGTTCAGATTCATGAGGAAAACACTCAGCAATATCTTCATTAAAAGGCATTTTACATTCGTTAAGGCTTGAAAGCAAATCTTGATATTTTATCACCACAGTTAAAGGTCTTAAGAAAAGCAAGTAACCATCATTCGGAGTGTCTTTATAAAATGAAATGCTTGCTCTTTACAAAAGCTAGGCATCTTTTGCTAAATTAGTTAACTCTCCAGCTTATGAAATGGGACAACCAGGTGCCCAGGAAAGTAAGACAAATTCAAACATCAGCTAAATATTTTATATTTTAAATATATGCACAGTCAATATTATGAAATCTTAACTCTACACAAAATACCTTAGATGACTGGATCCTTAAAAGTATGTTTTGCCAAAAAACAGATTGCTTTTATAGAAATACAGATTAGCCCAAACCTCATGTTGAGGCAATATTTTATTTATTTTTGGTTGTGGGGGGAATCGGATCTATTTCTTGAAGTAATATTAAATGAAATTATGCACACTTTGGATCATGCCTAATTATGAGATGAAAGCATCTTGAAACAAAGCTGGGAGCAGAATATCGATGCAAGGAGAAGAGTGTGCATCGACAAGGCGGGCACCCGTTGTCTGATTTGAATGGAGAAGAGCAAGGGACAGAAGACAATGGGCTGTGTGCAGGAGGTCCTGTTCACTTAAGTTCTCCTAACATCAGAACTGGGGTGCTTCACATGCGCGCTTCTTTCTCTAATGCTTTCTTAGGATTCTTTTTGAAGTCCTATCAAAAAAATAAGGAAGTGATCCCTTGGGAATCATTGAACTTAGTTTTAACCATGAGTTAATGTTTCCTCTTTCCAAGGAGGGTGACACCAGCATCTTGATTCACTGTGCAATTGAGATGGCTCCTGGCCAGTGGGCACTGAGGTGAATCATAGAAGCACCTACTGGATACCTGCTGCTTCTGGACCAATTTAATTTTAGACACAGACCTCTCACGATGATGGTAAAAATCCTTACTAGATAGACCTGCACCTTCCTGTCTCTGCCTCCCTCTTAATTCTATTTGTCCAGGTCTTGACACTTCTTGGGACTCTCAGATGGTCAAGGTCTACTCCAGGCATGATCCACCTTGTGACAATTCTAAGATGCTTGGTGTTGTCTGTCTGCAGAGTGGCCACGGGGCACAGGTGCTGTGAAGAGCTTCTGTTGTTTGATTTGGCAGGTGCCTGAAAACACAGCACAGGAAACCTCGCTCTTGGCGTGGCCTTTTTCTGATGAAAAGATCAAGATCCTCATGGCCCCACTAGCACAGGAAGTGAACGCCAAGGACAGTGCCATTTTCTGGGAAACTAAAACTAGTTTGGGATCATGTGGCCAAATAAGCTGATTGACTGCATTTCTGACCTTTCAACTCATTTGTGTTGAGCTACCTGTGGTGCCAGATAGCTACAGCCCTTGTTTAGAGGATAGTCATACTCATGTCTGTGATTCTGAATTCATCAGGCATTTGACTTCCTTGGCAGGAGATGAAGAAACTATGCTCTGGATCAATCAAGAGTTTACGTATCCAGGTCATCTCTTATAGTTATTAAAATCTTATTCAATACCTTCTCTCTGGACCCACCTAAGAGGTAGGCAGAACTGAACAGATGGGCAAATTCAACTCAGTCATTCTGAGCTTGACTCTTGCTTCTGCGTCTGGCGCCCACTACCCTACCTCACAAAAAAAAGTGACTTGGAAGTCAAAAGGAGAGAAATCAGTACAAAATAAAATAGGTTCTCAACACAAATAAATCCCCTTTCTGTGCCACAAAAATGCTTTCTGAGGGACCAATATTCATTCAGGATCAATTACAAGGATAGCTCCTGTCCTAAAACTCTGGAGTGCGGATCCACACTGCAAATCCTTCAATGCTCCCTGAGTTGGTTCTTGGGACACTGAAGGACCTCACCGCACTGTCGCTGAGAGATGCTGCGCCAAGTCATAACCGAAGCTCAGGGAGACTGAACGATCTGGAGAAAAATCTCTTTTGGGAAAAAAAAAATAGAAGGTCATATTATTCATATTATTGTTATTTGACTATACTATGATAAATCTGGTCATAAGACATAACTCTTAGTTAGTAGTCACTTGTGCTATATGATAATCTACTGCTGAACATAAAGATATTTCTGAATTAAGTACCCAGAAGTGCCTCCCTTCCATCAGTCCTCCCCCTCTTTCAAATGGTTATAATTGAGCATATGACACCCCCCTCAGTGCCTAAATATTATTATTTATGTAAAACTAGCTCAACCACAGAAGGAACATCTAGAAACAACAATATTGATTTTGTTTGGCCTGTTTGTTTTTAAGCACTCGCCAGTTGCTGGATTCTGGATATCAAATCCGAGCCCCCAGCATCCTGCCAACTCCTCTGGGGTGCAGCTGCTCCACCTGGAGCCCCATCCTGTTTTCTCTGCCGCTGTTGGCGGTGCTTCACAGATGTGTTTCAAGAACAGCCCGACTGTGCGTCTCAGGAAAGTGAACTGCCTCTCAGGCCGTCCGCCTGTGCTGTAAATTTGGAAAAGGATTTCTGAGAACAACAGGATTTCACACTAATTAAAAGGCCTTCGGGATCATTTGAGCCCTCATCCCCCAAGAGGCCCGTTTGGGGCTTTTCCCTGCAGTAAAAAGACCTGTTTCCTCACCAGTTCTCCTTTTTAAACATCTCCAGGGGCAAAGTTTCCAGGGAGACCTGAAAAGGTTCCGTTAGAGGTGAAAATGAATCAACTCATTCTGCCTTTTCAAAGCTTTCTCAGGCTTATAAAATGTCCTACTGAGAAGTTTCCTCTTCCTCCACGGGCTGCAGGAGCCCTTCTGCTTCCTCTCCCCAGTTTTGATCAATGGGTCACTTTTTTCCTTCAGAGATCCCTGGAGGCAGGTATGACCAGGGAGTGCTTGGGTTAGAATTTGTTGATGTTTCTATGGAAAGGACCCGTGCTGTCCTGCCCTCTCTGAGAAATGAGCCAAGTCCAGGGCCTTTCCGGCACTTGGGAGCCTCACCCTCTACCAACAGGCGACACAGAAGGAAGGGTTGTTGAAGGTGAGGGCCTGTGGAGGGTGCATGTTCTCACAGGGCGCCCCTGGGAGACGGAGCTGATGATTAGTTCATTTTTCTTAGTTTCCTCCGTGCAGGTCCCTGTACTAGGGCCGGGTAAACTTCTAAGGAGGTGAAACTCAAGGAGAATGACTAAAGAGTGAAATATTAGCTAACAACAAAAAAAAAAATTCCTTTTTTTTTTCATCTGGCAGTTGAGTCTGATGGTAGGAAAATTAACCCAGATGGGTTCCTATTTTTCTTTGCATTCATACCACATGGTTTCCCGGTCAGAAAGGCCCGTGGACTTTCTTCCTAAGGTGTCCCATGATCATGCCACCCCCTGAATGGCTCTCTCACCCATCAGAGCTGCAGCTGACTCAGCCAGGAGCAGCCGTCTGAGAGCACCCAACCGGCAGACCCGCATTCGGGAGCAACTTGGAGAGACTGGAAGACATTTTTGGCCAATTCTTGGGTTTTTACTATAAGGTTGGTAGTTACATGACATCACCGGTCCAAGACTTAGTTAGATAGATAAAGAAGACTGAGGACCAAGGAACATGGGACCTCAAAAAGAACTCCTTTGCCTTCACCCACCCCTCCTCCACCCACCCCCATCTGCTTCCTCACAGAGCAAAACCTCTCATCCATAAGCACCGTCAAAACCAGACATGCAATCTCCATGGAAACAACTACTCCTCAGCAAGCAACCCCCTGACAGATAGACCCCCGTGGGCCTTTTGGCATCGGCACTGCCCCCCTCCCTCCCATTCCCAGTCACTCCGGTTTGGAATTGCATGCCCATTTTCTTTCCTGGCAAGGCCCAGACAGCATGAAAACCAGGGGCAGCGTCAGCCGGGTGCACAACAGCACTGCAACACTCCCAGCACTGCGGCAAACAGACTATGTGTCCGAAGTGACCTTCCAACCCGGCCTTCAGCAACCAATGACAGAAACGCTGGAAGTAGCAAGTGACTGAAGGTGTGTTTGCCAGATACCCAAAAAGTCCACAGCCAGCTGGGTCCTCCTGCACTCACTCTCTCTGTCTCTCCTACAGGGCGGCGGGTCTCTGAATAAGAACGAAGATGGCATTTGTCCTTGACCTTGCAGATACTGACGAAGAGGAGGGCAGAGGAGGAGCTGGCCTTGCCTGTTTCTAAAGCATCTGAGAAGGAATTGCGATGTTGGCGGAAGGGGCCAGTGGCAATCCCACGTGTGCGCTCTGTAACACTGACAGACCCCAAATGCGCTGAGCCCGGATCGGGGTGGCAGGCGGAGAGGTTGACTGTTTCTGTCATTTCTCCTTGCCAGCTTCCTGCACAAGGAGGCCGGGCCTGGGGCTGACCTCCGTGAAAGACAGCAGGCTGGCGTTCCCATGATGCCAGCACAATGAGGCCAGGTTTAAAAAGTGTTTCCCGAGGCAATGAGGAAGAGGAGTCTGTGAAGCCGGAGTCCTGTGGGAGTAGTCGAGTCCTTCTGCAGCGGGGATGGGGCGCGACGGCGGTGCTCAGGATTGGCTGAGGCGCTTGGCGACATCGGCGTAGGCCAGCTCGATCTCTTGGTCAGCTGCACAGGTGTTGGTAAACTCGTCCCGGGCGTAGGCATTCTTGAGGTACCGCCACAGGCCTGTCATCTCGGCCGGGAAATCATAGTTGCGGTATTTCTTGGCCACAATCTAAAACAGAGATGGTAGGACAGAGGTGGTGTGAAGACATGAAACGAAGCATTAGAAAGGGTTGGGGACCCGCCCAGGGTGTGTGCACAGCAGGAAAACCTCCATACATCACAGCGGGTCATCAGCAAAACGTTTGTAATGCAAGGGGGCCCTGCTGCCCTCACTTTCTTTTATTTTTTCAAGTAAATATAATTTGCCCTTTGACCTAGTGGGTCCGCTTCTAGGAATTTTTCCTTAGGAAATAATCATGGTTGTACACAAAGACTTAGCTACACAATTATGATCCTAGAACCATTTTGAATAGCAGAAAATTGAGCACAGCACCAATGTCCAGTAATACGTGAACAGGTAAGTACGTTACTGCACATAAATACAGGGGCATGCTGGAGGGCCACTAAAAATGACATTGCCGAGGGAATCCAGTGATCTGGAAAACTCTTCAAGACAGACTGTTACATTTCAAGTGGAAGTTTAATGTGTTTGGAGAAATTTGTAGGATGATTAGAAGTATATATACTGATACGTTACCAATGGTTAGGTCTAATTGATAGAATTGTAGATCATTTTTTTCTTTCCTTTATCCACTTTGTGTTACATAAGTGTTCTTATTTATAGAAATAAAAAAAACACATAAAAAGTAAGTTAGATGTTGGAATGTACATGTAGGTTCAAGTTATGATGTGGGAGTGAGCAAATAGTGGTTTCTATTCCCTCCCTGGTTTGCCACACAGGGGGATGGAGACCAGGAGAGTTCTGGGGAAGTGGGGTTTGTGTTGAGAGAAACAGAGGCATAGTGGTTAAAAACAGGGGCTCTGGATCCCAAGTGACTGAATTTGCAATCCTGACTCCACTTAATAGCTGTGTGACTTTGGACATATTACTTAGCCTCTCTGAGCTCCAATTTCTTGGTCTCTAAAATAGAGGTAATAATAAGACCTACCTTGGAATAAGAAGTTAGTTAATACACATAAAATACTTAGAGGAGTGGCTGGCACATGGTAAGAACTCAATACACATCACCTATTATCATAATTCATTGAGACCCAGCTTCTGCCCATTCGCATGCATTTTCTTCATGGGTGGGAGCAGGGTGGTCTTGTTAATGAGGTCTCTCTAGCCAGGGCGGCTTCGTGGACATGCGACCTGTGCAGTCTCAGCGGGCCTTGTACTCAGAAAGGCCCTGCTCTTGGTTTAATGCTCTGGTGTCAACGTGTGGAAATTCTTAATAATTTTTTAACAAGGATCCCCTGTTTCCACTGTGCACTGGCGCCTGCACGTTTGCTGTCCTGCCTCCAGCCCTCGGGGGCTGGGGTGGGGATAGCAGAGAGCAATGAAGCTCTGTCTTCTGACACCTTCCCTTGCTTTCTTTTTTAGAGATGGAGCCAGATCATTGGTCCTCAGATAGATCCTCCCACTCAGAGAACCCCCAGAGCAGCCACTCTGGGCTTTCGTCTTCATTCTGGTGCCGGTGATGTGCGGAGTTCCTCAGAAAGCTGTGCTGAGTGAAGGATGATCACCTATTGCAGGAAAAGCCACTCTCACAGATGGGTCCACGTTCCCACAGACATGTGGGGACATTTTTTCCCTTCCACGCTCCTAGGCCAGTGTTGAACTCCTGTTACAACACTAAGCTATATTCTATTCCGAATCACAGTTATTGCTTTAGTGTCCTTTCTCTCTTCTCTAGCTCGTGAGCAGTGTGAGGATAGGAGCGACAGCTTCTTCATTTCTGGACCCCTCGGTAATCTCGATAATGATGTTGATCAGAGGAACGACGACAGCAAACTTTTATTCACTGTCTGCTCTGTTCCAGCTACTACTTTAAGCACCTTGCAAGCTACTTAAATCTGTAAATAACCCTATACATGGGAGTCAGTTGTATTCTGATTTTATAGATGAGAAGAGTAAGGCAAATAGAGATTCAGTAAGTAGGGATTCAGTGAACAGTTGTATTTAATCTTTGCAGTCTTCAGTTATGCTCATATCAGACAAGGTGCATCTAGTGTCATATGTAATAAAATCACTTAATTTTAAAGACTGAAGATTGTTAGCAATGAGCAAACTGAAGCCATGACAGAGTAAGTGACTCACACAATGTTACACAGGAAATGAATTTAACCAATATCGGTGGCGTAATCATTAATGTGTATTACAGTTCTTGCTTTCCAATCCACAGTTCTTTCCGCTTTGCTGCTCAGCCCTATGTAAAGGACAAAAGGTGGGTCTACTCAGAATGCCCCACATGCCAGTTATTAATCTATCATTGCTCATCTCCAAACCTGCCCTCTATTTGCTCCTTTGGGATGCTGAGCTGGGGCTGTGCAGACCACATCTCTGCTTAGCCAGTGAGTCTTGGGCTGTGCTGGGAGGAGCTATGCGAGAGCCTGCAAGGCCACAGGAGGAGGGAGGGAGAAGCCCTTTCCTGTTGGCTTCCTCTTCCTGTCGGAGTCTCCCTGCAGCCCAGGAGCAGCAGGTGAGTCTAGTTTGCTGTCTTCCCAACACTCATGCAACCAGCTTCAGCACTCCCGCTCAGAGCGGCCAGGGCACAACAGGGACCCTGCTGTCGAGGTCGGGTCCCAGCCAGCCCTAGTTTGGACCCTAGCACCAGCTGAGAAGCACTCCTACCTCAGGGTGCAGGTTCAGCTCTGCAGGACCCCTGAGTTTCTAAGTTTTAATAATTCCAACCTCTTCTCTTCATTCCCCCTGCACCAGGGGTAGTTGTTGCCTCCTAAAGATAGAACCTCCTGGTGCATTTTGCCTTCTCAGTTCCTCAACACATAGTACTTCTTTATATTAAGTTCTCTCAGTTAAAATAGCTGGCTTGGCCTGGCTACTAAAGAAGCCACCCCACACTGTCTTCCCAGAGCACTTACAATGAGCGACATAGCGCCAGCAGCCACCACCAGTCCTCCCGGTCTCTCCCTGTTCCCTGCAAGACGAGGGTGTCTTGGGTTGGCCTGAGTGCCTTTGAGAAGAGGCTGTCTTGGCCAAAGAGCAAATCCATGCAGGAGTTGGGGGCCTGATTTGCCAGAGTGGGTGGAAGGGGCCCACAGTAAGGTGAAGGGATCTATCCACAAAATTTTTCACAATTGCATGCTGATTTATAGAGCAGCCTTACGGCATTCCATGCTGAAATTTTATTTTCAGGTTTTAAAGTATAGAATATTAGCTTTAAAATAGCAGAATTGCAATTTATGAGTATATATTTGTGTTTATCTTTGTATCTCCCTTCCTGTTTGTTCCAGGGGCAGACCGCAGTCACCGTGTCAGGTGAGGGTCCCCATGCCGGGGAAGAAAGGCCTGCAGACGCCCCTCCCTGCCAGACCTGCGCGCCCCTGGCCTTGGCTGCTGAGTTGGTTGTTTTCTCACTCCTTGGCTTGACTTTAGGAGATGAGAACTAGAAGGGAGCCGGATGATGAAAGTTCAAGCCAGGCTCTCAGTGAGCGCCTGGGCCAGAGCAACTCAGCTTCCTTGGTGGAGAGGAACCTGCAAGTGAGCCGGGGGCAGAGAGAGCGTGCGAGCAGCAAGTGGTTGACAATGTTCACGTGGAGCTCTGACGCCCGCAGGAACTTCCATGCTCATGTTCTGCCTTCGCTCTTTCATGTGAAAAGAGTCAGCTCTCACAGCCCAGATTAAGTTTTGGCATCTGAAGTCAAATTGGAGGCCCTGACTTGGCTTCCCTCTTGCTCCTTCTGAACTTCAGAGCTTGGCCAGGTCCCCGGGATCTGATAAGCCGCATCAGCAAAATCCAAGGAGACAGGAGCCGAGGCCTGGCCTTTGTTCCCCCCATGACCATCTTCGTTCTCATCTCCGGCTTCTCCACGTGAACCTACAGAACTTCCTCCAAGGACAGGGATTAACTTAGGCATGCAGGGCTGGAAAGAACTGAGGAAATCACAGGATGAAGCACGAGGCTTGGGAGATCCATTTGTTTGCCTTATTCAATAAATAACTCTCGAGTGGCTAGTCAACACACGTTTGAGTAAAAGAGAAGGAAAGGAAGAGGGAAGGAAGAAAGGAAAAGAGGTAAGAAGGAATGCAGTCCCCTTCTCTTGGGCACAAGAAAAAATGAATCCCAAAAAGATTAAATGACTTGCCCTAGTTCATGCTGCTAGTTGGCAGCAGATACAGGCCTAGAACTTGGGTCTTCTCATCTTTCCGTATATCACCGTGACACGCTGCGACTGAACTGGAATTACATCATCCCTAATGGTGCTACTTGTTCCTCAGGAAAAAGAGAATAAAGGATGCTTTGATGAGTGGTGCATGTGACAATTAATAACTTCAAGGAATCCTAGCTTGGCTGGACTTACAAGTGACCATTGGCTTGGCCCCAGACCCAAAGTGTCTTCATATTAAGAGGTTGTATGTGCCCACTCCATCAGCGCTGGTATGCATCATTGCCTCCCAGTTCCCGGCTCTGACATAGGCCCATGGGAACACTAGTGCACACACAGCTCAGTGATTTCAACTCAAGCTGGTATGTGCTCTGATTGGAAGGAAGCCAGCATTTCTGGCCTAGAACTTCAGCTGAAAAACTAAAGGTATATACCTAGCTGATAAATGATTGAATCTGATTCTTCTTAGTGAAGAGTACAAATAAACTGGGTATCACAAAGATATGTACCAGGTGACCAAATGATCAATCTGTGAGTGTTTATTAAAGGACCACCATGTACCCACTATCATTCTTGGAGAAGGCCCTGTCCTCACAGAGCTTATTGTCTGACTGAGATGATAAGATATAGATGAGTGTAAAGGTATAGAACAGTGAAGCTACCTGATACCAGGCTGGCGAGGGCAGGAAAGGATGCGAGAAGAGGTGTTAGCTCAGAGAACTTAGGGGGATACAACTGCTGTCTTCAAACGAGAAGAAAGGGAGCAGGAATGTTCTGTGTTGCTCCAGAGAACAAATGGGTAGCAGGGAGGCACACTCAGGCCCAGTGCAAGGAAGGACACTTTAATGATCAGAGCTGTCCAATGTGGTAGGACTGGCTTGTTGGGCAGAGAGCTCCTCATTCCCAGAAATGCATAATCTCTGCTTCGTAGAAGATCGTCATAGACACAATAGAAAGCAGTCCAGGTTGGGTGGGAGATTGTTTGGGATGACATCTAAATGTTCTTCTTTCCAACTCTCAGATCCTAAGATTGGTGTGTAGGAGAGGATTCTACTACATGTTGCAGATGGTCAGTAAGTGCAATGATAGCAAGAAAATAACGTCACCATTTGTAGCTTCTTTCTCTTCAGCTGCTAGATGAGGAAGATGAAGCATGCCTACCTAGAAAGCTGCTAGAGAAAGTGAGAGGGGGGATCTGTGCACAAAGGAAATGTGTATAGAGGGGACATTTAATAGAGCTGTGGGGGAGTGGCCAGTGAAAGCCTGTGAGGAAGAGGCCTTTGCAGTGATGTGATGATGTACAATAATGACAATTGCAACTATTCTGTATTGAGTCCTTATGATATGCCAGGCAGTTTCATGTCATATTTACTCTTCCAGCAACCCTAGAAGTAAAGCAATCTTTGCCTATTTTACAAACAAAAGCTGAAGCTCAGAGAGTCTACACAGCCAGCAAGCAGTCGAGACTGACCTTGGGCTCCTATTATCTGACTTCACATCCAGGCTCTTGACTAACAGGGTGTCCATGACTCATCCACACAGGTGACCTGGGCCTAAGATGGAGCTGGATCTCACAAGAACCTGCAGGTAGAGCTCTCTTACCTTGACCACATGGAGCTTGGGCAACAGATTGCAATCGGCCAGGGTCAGCTCGTCCCCATCAAGGAACTTTCGCCGGGATGCCTTGTGGTCATCCCCACGAGTGTTGGCGTCGATCTCCTCTGGGAGAGGGGTGTTCAGGTAGTCATCCAGCTTCTTCAGAGCCTTGGTCAGGCCTCTCTCAAGGGCTGGCATGGAAGAGCAAAAGAAAGGTCTTTGGTCAAACTTCTTGCCAATGGATACAGCCACAGGGTCTTCAGAGGGGAGTAGCTCATCTAGAATCCTGTCCCCTTGTCACAGTGCCAGCTCCCCACACACCACAGAATACCTGGGGACCATTAATGCAATGCAGTGGAAGTGTGCTAAATAGCCCCAAAAGGCAGACTCTAACCAAACAATAAACACCAGCTAATCCTTTATTTTGAATAAATATATATAGAAATATAATAGTTAGGATATATACCAAAGCTTTTACAGTGCTTATCTTGAGCAGGTACAATAATACTAGTCAACTTTTATTTTTCTTATCTATATTTTACCAATATTCCACAATAAACCTACATATTAATTTTGTAGAAAGAAAGGGCTATTAAGTAAATAAAAACTGCACAGAAATCCTAGGATAGAGAAATGCACCAGATTTTGTGGAAGCATTAACTATGGCTAATCCAACCTGAGAAGAGTTGGGGACAAGGCCTCCAGGAGGACACGGCAGAGGAAATAGAGCAGGCCTGTTCGGTGTCGCCCCCAAAGAAGCGATGGGTGTCAGGGAAGCACACTTGAGTTTAATCTGGGGAAGATTGTTCTGAAATTCAGTGCTGCCCAATGCAAGGGCCAGTGCACCAAGCAGTGGGCTCCACCAGAAATGTGCAACCACAGCTGCATGGGAAGCTGTCATGGTTATGGCTCAAAGAGTGAGCACCCGCGGGGGGACGATAATGTGGCAGAAGACTTTTATAGTCTTGCTCCAATAATTGTCTATCAAATAATTCATGAGTAGAACAAAATACCCAAAATAACAACTGTGGAAATTCATGATCACTCAAAGTCATTTTTCCCAGAATCTCACAGTCCATCACAACCATAGAACACGAACACAGAAACTTTCCATCTGAGCTCAGAGGACTGACAGGAGATGGCTGGCTGGGTCATCAGCCACTGCACCTGTGTCATCAGCCCTATTCCCACTGGCTATTTTTCCAGACTCTAGTTTAGAGTGTGACACTAAGATAATGGGAGTCGGTTCTGATGCTCATTCCAGCAGATACAGGGGGATGTTTCCTTCTGGAGGCAAAGCAGAGAGGACTGTCCTCGTGTTCAGATTTTCCCAAATGTGCTTGCTGTGAGCCACTCCTCCCATAACCCACTTTTGTCTGTTCATAGAAGGCCTTTTGTTTGAGACAATGGAATGACACCAGCCCAAGATAAATGAATTGAACGTTTACTGGAATGTTTGAAAATTGGCTGGAGGTTGGGCATGGTTTCTCAATACTTCCTTCTCCCTGGTGTAGCATTTGAACTTCATCATCTGCTTTGTGTTTCCAGTTTGGGAGAATAGAGTAAGCAGGGCTGGGAAAAATGCTTATATTCCCTTTAGCAACTGTCTAGACTGTGCTGGGGTTGCAAGACTATTCAAAGGCAAAGGCAGAGGATGGGTACTAAACAATACTTACTATGCTTTTTCCCCCGAAGCACTTTTGATTTATACTGGGTTTCTTTGCTTACTTACATGCCTCTACCCCTTTCAACTATGGAGATTATGCCAAAATCTTGATTATAATGAAGAAAGGAAGAATCAAATATTGTGCTTGTCAAAATTTGACCAACTGATATCAACCAAGGGAAAGAGAAATATGATAGGAAATGAGACATTGCAGGTTCTAATTCCAAATGCCCCTTGTAGACCCAAGCAGGCCACTACACAAGTCTGTGCCCAAGTTGCCGGGTCTGGGAACTGTCATGAAATTTGGGCGAGAGGATCAGAGCAGCAACTGAAGCTCCTTGGGAGGATAGTTCTGGATAAATTTCAACTACCTCTCTACTGGCTCCCCAAGGTGGAAGGGATACAGTTTGGCAGTGGGAGTGGTTGTTGCTTTATGTCGCAAGTGACGTGCCGTGTCACACACCAGGTCGGTCCTTTCTGAGGATGTCCTCTGTGAAGCAGTCTCATTGCTGGGGCTTGTGCATTTTTGATCAGGAATGTGAAGGCTGGAGTTGGTGGTAATCACGGGAGAGAGAAGAGAAGACGAGGCAGCAGGGACGGGGCCATGTGGTATGGAGCTAACTTGTGTTTCAATTCTGACTCTGCCCAAGATGGATTCACCATGAAGCTGCTGAGCCTTAAGCTTCGAGGTCCCTTAATTGCCTGGGCCCCTTCCAAGGACTTAGACTTGACTTCAAAAATTCCTTATTTGTACTTACTGTATTGGCTTCAGATCACACAAATCCTACATATGTCCCTGATTCTGGCACTTAGGCGTGATTTCGGGCAAAGTTCTCAACTTTGCTGAGCTTCAGTTTTCTCATTTCAATAATGGGACTAAAGACCCCTAATCCTCATAAGGCCGTGGAGAAGATTAACTCAGATAATGCAGCGAAAGTGCCTAATACAGTGCCTGGCCCATACAAGGACATCATTAATGGCGGCTGTGCTGTTACATCACCAAATGTGGGGCCATCATCCTGCTGTCTGTTCCTCACTCCATACTCTTGGTTAGTATATCCCTGAAAATTCCAAGGTATAGCAAAGGACAGATTTTAAGAAGGCCCAATACTGTGGCCAAGTCCCTAGAGAGGGAAGTCAATAGCTTGGAGATTTGCTTCCCTTACCTATCTGATGTACAGCAAAGCCCTGTATTTAATGTACAGTCTTATGCTCCCCTGGGATCCTCCTCAGTGACAAGCTGTGTTGAGAGGCACAGCCAGAGGGAAAAGATGCCGCATGCCTGTGTGCTAAACCGCTGCCATGTGATGGGGTAACAAATGGCAGCACCCACATTCTTTGCCAGTTCTTTTCCTCCTACCTGCCAACACACACTGACCCTGGCTCAACCTGGCATCCATAGAATTTAATGATCTCTTTGGGCTGATGGCACCAGGTCATGAAGCCATTTGTGCTGAACTTTCTGCTCTGGTAGGAGTAAGGAGGATGTGAAAGAAACCAGACATGTGACAAAGAGATGTGAATGCCTTCAGTGTTTATATTTGAAACTCTCCCTCCAAAAGACGTCCTCTGAGTTGCTGGATGGCATAACACTCAGACTACAGCACCCGAGCCTGGGGTCGGTGCACCCCAAACCCTGGGATCACTCACATCCCAGGCACTTGATGGATACCTGGTCCTTTCCCTGCTTTCTTCCCCTCTCCGCCTCTGCTCCCCATAAAGATTTATTCTGTACCACACACAAATGCACCGGGTAAAATATGTGATGAGGAAACAAGGGGAATAGTTCATAAATATTCTCAGCCATATGCAAACAATCTCAAATTTATTTTTCTCTTTTTTAAGGAGGAAAAAAAAAATCCACCCATTCCGTGATCACTTCCAGATTCATTGAGGTTGATATTACATAAGACCCAATATTGTTTTCTCGTTGTAGAGAAATAATGACTTGGAAAAGGCAATTTGAGCTAAGAAAATAATATATTCTTACCAGGGCATGGAGGCTGAATGGGGAACTGGGAGCCAAGATGCTAACCCAGCCTCCAGCAAGTTCTTGCAAGCACAGCTCAGCCCCAGTTTGCTGGCAGGCTCAGGGCAGCGCGGGTCCTGACGAGCAAGCCCTGGGCTCAGAATTCACATGGAGAGGGGCGGGTGGCAAAGGTGGTCTTTGAAAGGACGAGAGCAGCTCTGTGGCCCAGGTGGCTGCACGCTCAATCTCTCACGTGTGGTTTTTCTCTGGTATGTGCACTTGCGGTGAAATAAGAGTGAGGGGCCACCTCTGACCACTGTCTGCAGCCTGGATGGTCTGTTCGACTGTCCATGGAGACGGGGATGGTGGCTACTAGGTGCTGGCCAGGCTGAGCACCCTCCGCCCTGCTCTGTTCCTTTCATTGCCCTAATCCCAGCCCCCAGCACAACAAGAAGAAACACTCACCAACTTCCTGCAGTGAGCCGGGGATGTTTATGCCCCTACCATTTAAACACACAATAAGGCTATTGAGATGGGAACTATTCCCCATTCTCATTTGACAGATGAAGAAACTGAGTCTTGGACTTACCACATACATAGGCTTGTGCAAGCACACAAACAGCTGGGGCCTTAAACTGTTCAAACTACTCCTGGGATGTACAATGAAAATGTGCCATGTTTTGTTTTGAACTGCTGTGGTCTTCCAAACTCCCAACCGCTGGGTAGTGGGAAAACAGCAACAATTTTAATTTAGTCCATTCCGGATTATAACCTAGTCTGATGTAACAATCGAAATAGTCCCTCTAGAGAATTCTTAGTCTCTTTTGCATAAAAATGATCAGTTTCTCAGAGACCCTGTCCCTCCCTGGACTCATGGGACTGGGGGTTGGGAGAGGAGGTTCCTGTGACCTCATGGCACCAAGGAGAGGGGACTTCCGGGATCTATGGGGTAGGATGCCCTACGAAGCTAATATGGGTTCTTTATCTCTTCTCAGTGTGCTTCCTTTCAGAGTAACCATGGGCTTGTTGGCCCTAGGGTGGGGGTCACAGGTGGGCTGCTTGCCTCCCTCCAAAACCTGGAAGGATACCCAAGCAAAGCACCACTTGGGGCTCCTAAACATCCCTAGTGCCCTGACTGCCCTGCCTCTCTCTTCTTCTTCCCCAATTCCCCCGAGCCAGGAGAGGTGGGCTTTTCTTTTATTTTCCTATGTCAAATAGTCAATCAGCCATAGAGCAGCAGGCCTTCTGGCCTAGCAGCACAGGCAGAAGGGCTGTTTCTACACTGTGAGCCAAGCGAGGCCTCCAGGCAGGTTCTTGGGTGAAAATTGAGATATAAAAGAATTTAGAAAATCTCGAGACAATAGATTAAGGGTTATAAGGCTACTTACTGTCTTGTTCAAAACGCTATTTTGAATATCAGAAGCTGAACATTGAAATCCTTTTTCTCTCTTAGAATTCCTTCTGCAGAAACCCTAATCTCTCTGGGGTTAATGGATGCCTAAGACAGATTAAAATCATGTACTCGGAAAGGCAGACAGAAAAATATTTTCAAAATA